AGGAAGGAGCAGTGGCTGTTTTGCAGCCATGCACACGAGAGATGGGAAGGGTCCCCTCCCTCTGCTCTCACTTTGCTGGGTTTCTGACTGSCTCTGGKCCAGGGGCTGCCAYTCTGCACTTGCGGGGACCAGAAGCACCAGAAGCTCCCCCAGGATGCAGGCACTGCCTGACAGCCAAACAAGGTTGAACGAACAGGAAGCTGTGGCAGAAGTGAGCTCCACGGCACATTGTATCTTAGTTCTTCATGCTTGTGCGTAGAAATTTGGGTTATTCCAAACTGCAGACACCACATGTTGGGCTAGATGAAGCATCTAAGGAAATGGAAACAAACCAAACTGCCGGAAAAGGCTTTCAGAGAAAGACTGACAGGAAAATCAAGATTGGTTTTATTTCAAATAGTCCTTTCACCAGATGTTAAACTGCTGAGAAACTTTGCAATGGTCCAGGGCACTCCTCTTTAAGAAAGATAACCTCAAATTGGCAGAGGAATCTATTCTTACAATATGACCACAAGTTGCACCCCTGACATGGAAGAGTAAGTTCTGCAGGAGGAATACTTTGATACTTTGACCATTTTTACAGCTATATAATCTTTTGTCTCTTCCATAGAGAAAAACGTGCCTTGACAAATGGACACTTTCAAGACTAAGTAAAACAATTCTAGAGAAATTATTAAATTCACAATCCCTCTGGGACAGCAATTGTTACTGATACGTGATAACTGACAAGTTTAGCAACCGAGCGACAAAAATGACATATACTGGGAGCCGTTCCACAAACAGCTGTCTGATATCACCTTGGAATGGTATCACTCTTTAAAAATGCTGCTTATCCCAGGAAAAAAAGTAAATAAGCATTCACAGAGAAGTAAGAAATACAGTCTGAAAGATGGAACAAGAAAATTCCACTGTGAGGAGTTACAAACCTTTCATGTTGGACTGCCCAAGGGGCTTTCTGCAGACACCGAAGGAGGCATTTTTTCCTTTACCACCATGTTGGTGGTACTATATATTATACAGGAATATAATTTGGAGACGTTTTATTTTTCACATTAATAGAGTCACTGTCTAGATCTAAACAAGATTTTGGAGTCTCAGGAGCCAAAGTTTGTGTTTTCTAAAATTAAAAGAGGTGCAAGTTAAAAGCATTCCAATGTCTTTTGTTGAATGCAAATAAATCATCATGATACTTCAATTACGTTCTACACATAGAAGTAATACCAAAATCTAAAACTAATTAAAAAATTAAAGTTACCTTGTGTTTCATTTTCATGAATCATATTTCAAGAGTGCTCTTTTACAAGATTCTCCTAAAAAATAGTTACATGATAAGAAATAAATATTTTATCTGCATTCAGTTGTTAAAAATCTTGGTGTAATCACAGTCTACAATCATACACTGTTACAAAGTTGACACAAATCTATGCCCGGGTTCAGTACAACCGAAGCATTCAAAGTCAGTATTATTTCTATTCAGTTTCATTTCTTATACAACTTCTCCCTGAGCACAAGCCCGGGCCACACACCTCACCCACACTGCTCAGTTAGTAAAAAACTCCACCTTTTCTTCAATTTCTGCTTTCAGTTGTTCCTTAAGGGATGACAGTTCACTTTTCAAACATGACAGCTTATTTTCCTAAAAACAATTACATGAAGGATAGGGTTAGCTATGCACAACCTGGAAAAAAGAAAACAGTCCAGCGTGAGATGGTAATTAATAGATATAAATTAGAAACAAAAGAGAATTCTATTTGGTTTTCAACCCTATACCTGAAGCTTTCTTTTAGCTTGTTTTAAAAAAGACTGAAGTACTGTAACAAACAGGTCCTTGACCACAAGTGTTCAAGGCAAGACCTAAAACAAAAGTTTCTTATTCAGACTGAGGAGTTAGAACATGACACACTATCTGCAGGTGTAGGCACAAACATGCTGCTACTCCAAATTATTTTTAGAAACATTTATAGAGTTTTTAGTGCCCACAATAAGGTCTGTAAGAAAATAAAATGAAACAAAAGAGTGGGCTGATTTTTACTCTTCAGTCCCACTAAAGCAGACAATTAACCCCTCCTGAAGTATTAAACAGGAAGAAGTAAAATACGTATAATTATATTCAAAGACATCAACCCCTGTATTAAATTATTTAACATTGGAAAGTACTCCTTACCAGTGCTCTTGCTGGTGATAACTGCTTTTGCTGTTTCATTTTATATATTTTAACTCTGCATCTTTTTCTTCAACCATTTTATCATATTCAAGHTGTGTTAAAAAAACCAAACCACGAACAAACTCAAAACATGTGACTAAATGTTACAATTATAGATCCACCCAATTCTAAAACATCGGTCATTTTGTCCAACCAGGCTCTTCAGAAGATTCAGAAAGCACCATGAGCAAACACTGATGCTTCTGCAGAAACTGTAAAACAGAAAATGCTCAATGCACTATTATTCTGGGGACTGGCAGAGAGTGCTTTATCTCCACGCAGCAGTCAGTGTTCAGCATATGAGAGCAAGCTGTGCTATTTTTATTAACGGCACCCACTTAAGATACTACAAAAGAGAGTAACAGAAATGTAAACTGAAATGTGTCACACTAAATCTGCTGACAGTCACTAAGTAATCTCCTCAGAGAAAGAGGCCAAACTGATACTGAGAAATACTGTATTCAGATGGTATCAAAGGAAGTTTGTATAAATAATAAAACCTAAAATACTAGACATTTAGATAAATTGAATTTATCTGCCCATGAACATGTTTT